GGAGCACTAGTGGCTACTGGCTTTACCACCTTTTCAAACTATCAACAGTTTTGATACTTTGATTCGAATTTTCAGGTTGAGCGACATTTTTATGGTAATGGAACTATGAACATAGTTCACGAATCATATTCCGACTGTCTTGTTTCTTTCGGCAATATTAGGTGGACAACTTTTCTTTGACTTGGAAAATTAGGTAGGCAATCATCATATGAAAGATTGATAGGATAGGTAAGGTAGGCAATCATATTAAAGATTTATTAAGAGCCCATTAGTTTTTTTTTTTTTTGACAAATCATATCAACTTTTATTCCACCATAATCAACTTCACACATAAGCTATTACAATTTTTAGAGTAGAACAGAAATTAGATCAAGAATATTAATCCAGTCTTCTGGCAGGATAGATTTGGCTTTTGATCGTGCAACCCAATCAGCTCTGACATTCCTTGCCCTCGGGACCTCAATCACCGAAATAGCTGGGTTATTCCTAAGGATATTGACCATTGTTCTAATCCAGGCTGCGCACCTCCAGGGCCATCGAGACTGATTATGATTCAGGGCCTTCACCAGCGTTTGACAGTCAGACTGAACTGTACATACCGATCCATATTCTTGTGCTAATTTAATTCCTTCCAAAAGCGCCTTAGCTTCTGCTTCAATCGGGGTGGAACAAAGAGCCCATTAGTTGATTATATGTTTATGTGATCTCTACCACAAACCCTACAAGGTGGAGAATTGTTGCAAGACTATGTATAATAGTGGAGTTACGTGTAGCCTAGAAGGAGCTACATACCACTCAATTTTGTTACGAAACTATAATATGTGTATTCGTATCTTCACAATACAATAGAAAGGTATATGATGTAATGCTGTTAGCCCCCTCGATCCTACAAATTTTGAATTCAATCGTGAAACGTAAATTTGTTATTTTCAATCCTTCTCGACTCTAAATCGTGAAAATTAAAGGATCGTGAAAATGAGAGGGAGCTAGAGAGAGGAAGGTTATGGTTAATAACAAACAAAACTTGGAGGTGGTTTGAAGGACAAGATTATGGGGCAAATATTGGAATAATTTGGGGAAATATATAATTGGGATCGGGGCATGCATCGGAATTGGGGTTGGTACTTGGGAGAAGAAGGTTAGATTCCCCCACAAATTAAGGATATATTAAAGAAGATTTGAGAAAAGCAGGACAAGATAAATTTATGCGAGGATTTGGTGGAATGCTAATCATGAGAAGTTGTTTGGCAAGAAATCATAAAATTTAAAAAAGTTGTCTGGGAAGAGAATGGAGACACGATAGCCCAGCAAGTTGCAGCACTCCTCATTGAGTTTATGCTATAATATGAATGCATTTTTTTTTAAGACAACCAATGAGAAATGATGATATTTAATAATGTGAGTTGTTGTGAGAAGTAATTAATTACTGATTTAATTTCATTAAAAAAAAGACATGCATAAAAAAAACATGAGATTTAACATAGTTAGACCTCTGAGAGAGACTCTACTACATTTGTGGCTAAAAATATTCTCTTATTTAGTTATCAACCATAAAAACCTTAAAGTTAGGCTCTTATATATAGTCGACGTGAAACGCAGGGACCTTATTACCTTAACCACAAGCTTCACATCAATCAGCAAAGCAGTCCACACTCTAATTAATATATACACAGAAGTCCCCATATTTACATAGTTTAATAGAAACCCCGACCTTGTGTAATGCGTAGTGTTAGAGCAGGACAATGTAATTTTGGTGATAGTTATTTTGATGGATTGTCATCACTGTATGTATACTAATATGCATGTATATAAGAAAATTGGTGTATTGTAGTTTACATTGTTTGGTTTTTGTGATAGTTATTGTAGTATTTAGACACGTTATATTACTTTTTGAATGAAATGTCTCTTTTACCCTTTGCTTTTAATATAAAAAAGTAACACACATGAAAAAGGTAGGGACGTACTTGAAAAAAAAATAACCCAACAATCTCACGAAAAACTTGAGATTTAACTATCACTCATTTTGAGTGATAGTTTGTGTCAAATCAAGCAAATAATGCATGTATTGTTTGTGCAGAAAATTTAAAAAAACAATGTATTGTGGACAATACATGCATTGTAACTATCCCCATCAAACAATCACTAAAACCAAACGACCCCTAATATGCATGTATATAAGAAAATTGGCGTATTGTAGTTTTTGTGATAGTTATTGTAGTATTTAGACACGTTATATTACTTTTTGGATGAAATGTCCCTTTTACCCTTTGCTTTTAATATAAAAAAGTAACACACATGAAAAAGGTAGGGACATAAAACTTGGAAAAAAAACCCAACAATCTTCACCAAACAATCTCACAAAAAATTTGAGATGAGTGATAGTTTGTGTCAAATCAAGCAAACAATGCATGTATTGTTTATGCAGAAAATTAAAAAAAAAATAATGCAATGTAAACAATACATGCATTGTAACTATCTCCATCAAACAATCACCAAAACTAAACGACTTGTAATCATAAAATCCTAGCTGTGTCTTGAAGTCGTTTTGCTATGGAGAAAACAGAAAGCCAACATGAAGCGATGACACTCCGACTAAATGTGATTCTCATTTTTTTGGTTTCACCGTAAAATGGTTACAGGTTTGGTTTCTGTTTAGTCTGGAATTAGGGTTATTTTTTGGTATTTAGCTCCTTTTAATATTCTATGCTTCTTTGTGCAAATTGCTCTTTGCATATAAATAAAACAATAGCTAGCCTTTTGCAAGTTTCACCACCAATTGCATTCGTCTTTTAGTTTTGTATCAGATGTTGGTCCGCTTAGTAGGATTTTTTGCCCTCTCGTATTCTAAAGTAAAAACGTCTTTTCGTTGTTTGTTGTTTTTAGGGTAAATGACACATTTGGTCACTGAGATTATTAAATTGTGTCATGTTTAGTCACTAGAAAAAATTAATATCAATTTTGGTCACTCGAATTATCGAAACTGGTCAAATTTAGTCACTCTCCCGTCAGTTTCCGTCCAACTCCATTAATGTAGTTGGACGGAAACTTTTGGGAGAGTGACTAAATGTGACATGTTTCAGTAATACGAGTGACTAAATGTGACATTTTTCAATAATTCGAGTGACCGGAGTTGGACAGAGGCTACAGAAGAGTGACCAAATGTGATCTGTGTCAGTAATTCGAGTGACCAAAATTGATATTAAATTTTTCTAGTGACTAAATATGACACGATTTAGTAATCTCAGTGACCAAATGTGTCATTTACCCGTTGTTTTTATGTCGAGGAATTGGTTAGTTATGTTTAGATGTGGTAAATGGTTTGGATTTATGAAGGTCAAATGGATTGGTGTTTCATAAATTGGTTATTTATATTTTTTTTGTTATGTTTAATTCAATCAACTCGTTTAATTTTATTAACAATACTTCGATCGAGATGACACATAAAGAAAGAATATATAGGTCAAACATTCGGAGAAATACATCATCATTTAAGAATATAAAATATATAATTAACTAAATTTTCATAATGATAATTATGCAAGTTAAAATGTTATTGGTTAGTTGATTGTCAAGAAAGAGAGTATAAAAGCTCAGTGAAATTCCACACAACCCATAGATAGTTTGAAACTAAATCTTAAACCTAAAAAAAATCCTACATAAGGGTTCAATGCGCTCCTTTTAGGAACAATATGCCACTAATCAAAAAGAAATTGAGAGTTGTTGATTCAAGTCAACTATATACTAACAACTCAGCTAAGAGTGAACCATCAAAACTTGAGAGCAAACACAAAATTAGGGTTACCTCCAACATACTAATAGACTCAATCAAAGTAATAAGACACAAAATTAGACACTCCTTATCTATAAATTCCAGTAGGTTGAATAAAGAATCGACTTAATTCAGTAAATCAATCAATGATTCCTCGTTTTAAGATAGAAATAGGTTGTGATAGATGCAAAAACCATAAACTTAAAGATCCAATAGCCACCACTCTCCATTGTACAACCAAATTTTTATCTCAAAAGACATATGTTTCAACCAAAAATTTAATTTCTAATCCTGCTTCTGCAACTCCATTATTTATTAAACTCTTTTACTTGTCCAACTTAAATTCCCAACAATAAAACCGTTGTGCCAAGAGATACTAGATGATTGATTTTCAAAGGCGGCCTGGTACTCGTAAGTGAAAGGGGAGCAAATTATTGTACGATGGAGGGAATTTTCGAGGAGTTAGAAAGAGATAAAAACAAAGATAAAAAGCACAAAATTTGAATTGAAAAATGCAAGGACACAATACGTAGTAAATTTTTTCCCCCCATGTTAGCCAATTACCAATTTACCTTTGGTGAAAATTAAGGAGAGAGACAAAGAATTATAAAATAGAGAAAATTAAATGAAACTCTACTATGAAAATTGAAGTATCAAGTATCATAAAAATACATACGGCGGTAGACTTAGTGGGTTTGCTAATCATAATGGCAAAATCTACAGATTTTCAGTGAGTTGAATTTCGTGTATGTTTTGTATTTAAAAAGATACAACAAATTTGTTTAGTGTAAATGGTTGTGATTGTTGTCTTTGTTTTAATAGACTTGGGTTCAAATCCTGATATTAATATTTGTTTATGTGAGATAAATAATTGATTGTAAAGACAAAAATGTCCTTCCTATTTTCACTCTCGTTAGAGGAAATTTGAAATGGAGAAAAGTACGCAAAACTCTACCATACATTATTGGAGGATGTGAAATGGTATACGTAAAAATAGCTAAGTAAGACTTTAATCGTGCAATATTTCTATTTTAAGAAATATAAGTATTGTAACAATAAACAATTCAAACAAATATGATCGAGCATTGGTTGAAATATATGTGTTAACTAATTGGTAATTGCTGAAAAGTTGTACCAAAATTGCAATTGCAATTTGGTTGTACACTCAAATCTCAAATCTATTTTTATTTAGAAAAAAATCAGGTCTCATTTGTCAAAATAAGGGAATAGGGCTCGATTGTCGAGACAAGAGGATCTTTGTTTTTAATGGAAAAATGGAACAAAAAGAATCTCATTTCTTCCTCTCTCCTTCCTACCAAAACCAAAAGGAAGAGCAGAGCCATCCATCCATCCATCCATTTCTTTAACCATTTTAGTGCATTTCACTATTTCTTCTTTTCTTTCTGGGGATCGTATTTCAATTTTCAAATTCCAACACGGTGACCGTCAATAAACGGCGTTAACGGCGACACGGGAGGCGGCACATTTTGCAAGCACTACTATAAAATCCAAGTAACAGAAACAAACACCCGACCCGACTCCCAGCCAGCCAAAACCCATTAGAGACAAGGCCGGTGAAGAAACGAGATTACGAGAGAGAGAGAGAGAGAGAGCTTCCTCCTCGATAAGCCAGGCGAGACGACCTAGCATTAGCAAGCATCAGAATACAACAGATCGAACCCAGAACTGTGAGTAAGTAGTTTCAATTTCGCGTAATGTACTTTCAATTTCGATTGTTCCTATCCACATCTTCTGATTGTTTTCTCACGGCTCCTTGATCTGACTCCCGGTTGATTTCTTCGTTTTGGCTTGGTTTCTGTGGAATGTGGGTTTGACGGGGAATGGTATTTGTGTTTGGTTGCTGAGAGAATGTAGGTTGAGAAACTATCGAGAATCCGGGAGTGTGTTTGAAGTTGGTGTAATTGTGTGTTTTTTTCTTTTACTCGATTCTTCGGCTTAATGCTTCTCGGCTTCCATTTTAATGGCGATCGAGCCTTTTGAATCTTTTCTGCCATTTTTGCGGTTTGAGAGTTGGAGGTGAAGCGCCAACGGTGTGCTATTTGGTGAAGCTGTGGACAGAAATTGCATGTCTATGCTTGCAAATTGGTTTGTCCATTCTTATCTGTTCAAGCTGATCGTGGTTTTTGGCTTGCCGTTGTGTTCTCTAATCTTTTCCTGGGTTGGTTTTTTTACTTTTTTATGATCGTGATTGCCCTTGTCCATGAGAACTCTTGAGTTCTTGCTTTTTTCAGTGTAACCCTGCTATTACATATGCTGACTTGCTTACATTCATTAAGGAAACTTGACGATTCTGGTGCTGAGTCAGTTCTTCAGTAATTAGGGGTGTTGATTCTTCCAAAAAGAAAACAAATGTGTGTTGATTCTTTGTCCATAATTGTGTTTGTGTATCGTAATTTGATCAAGCATCAAATTTTTCTTGTCAAGTGAGAGTCTTCTCCTCTATCTTTCTTGGATGGTCTCTACACACAGCACATGTATTATCTTCTATCCATCTAGTATTGAATTTCAGCAGGTGAACTGTTGAACATATCTCCAAGAGGTACTGCAGGTGTCCAGCTTTAGGGAGCTTGGAGGTTTAAAAAAAGAAACATTCTTGTGCTTAGTAGCTAAGGATTTTTTAAAAGATTTCTGCTTTGTGTTCCATAAACTATTCTGAATCTAATCGGATCCACTACAAGTCAAAATCACAGACTTGGACGTCCACTTAAAGTTTCTTGCACAACTGGGAAGATGGATTGATTAGAATTAGAGCACCGTGGATGATCTGTTTGAAACTTAACTGTGGTGACTTCTGTGTTTTTGTTCTTCAAGGAGAGAGAGAACTTCAACCTAGGAATAACAAGCATGGGATTTTGCTTCAGGAACATGTTAGCTTTATTCAAATCAATAATAATTCTGATTTTCTCTTTCTGCTTGTTGTAGGCAATGGGGGTAGACGTTATGGATATCTGCATGGACAAGGAGCATGATTTTGAAATAGCTTATCAGAATGTGGCTTCCCATGACCCAAATCAACCTGTTGTCCTAAATCAAGATCATGTGCATGAATCCTACGAGCCGATTAGCGTTGATGCTGAACAACAGAGTGCAGAAGGGAGCATTGAGTCGAAGGAGTACGAAGTGAAGGAATGCACAACCGAAATTGTGGTTGAAACTATTGAGTTTTCTCTTGCTGAACAAAGTAAGGAGGACCAGTCTGCTGTAAATTCATCATCTGAGGACGGTTTAGATGAGAAAGTTAAATCAGGAACCAAGGCATCAAAGGACAAGAACAAGTCGCATAGGTCACCCAAGAATCATGCAGCCAAACATGGAGTTGCTCGAACGAAACACACCGTTCCACAACCATTTGCCCTAGCAACTGAAAAGCGTGCATCATCTGGAACTCGTCCTTCTGCAAAGGCTGGTCCAAATAAAAAAACTAAAGGAAACAATGTGCTACGTCCCAATACGGTGAAACAGAATCAGGTAGCTACTGCTTTTGAGAATAAATTTATCCACTAGATGCTGCATCTTTCCAAATTCAAGAATTACTCTATCATCTGTGTTCAGCTCACAGCATTGGTCTTAGGAGGATGAAGAGAAATCAACTGTCTAAGTTGTTATCTGTCACTGTTGTTGTTAGAATCAAAGTCATACTTATGGTGTAGTGCTTTATTTTGAATGCAGCCTTTTCCAGTGGCTAGAAGGCCATTGCAACCGAAGAACAAGAAGCATCCTGGAGAAGAAGATTCGTGTTCTGTCACAAGCTCGTATCCTATTAAAATTCAGCGCTGCCTGTACTATTGCCACTTTGCCAGTCAACTCTTTGGTCATCTAGCTCAGTTGTTGTCAGATTTATTTGTAAACCTTGACATATGTTTAGTACTGGAGCTTCTGTGCAGACAATGAAGACACAGTCAATTATTGCTTCAGCTCCAACATTCAGATCTAGCCAACGTGCTGAGAAACGGAAGGAGGTATACCTTTAACATAAATATCACTGAGTTGAGCGGAAAATGTTGGATTAATTTGTGTCCTTTATTGTTCTTTGCTGTAGCTTTTTCTGATTGAGACACCAATACCTCTGTTGTGTTTCCATCTCTTAGTTTTACTCAAAATTAGAGGAGAAACAGCAAGCTCTGGAGGCTGAGAAGACCCAAAACGAAGCAAGGACAAAGGTAAAATATTTTATGTATATCCAAACTACAATTTAGTAATTGATTGAAAATCTATGTATCTCTGCCAAGTATCAGCTTACCTTATGTATTGCATTCGAGTGTTGATTTTCGAATTTGATGATTCTGATGTACTGTGTTTATGTACTTGTTCTTTTGCGTCTGAAACTGAAGGAAGAGATGGAGGCAGCTATTAAGCAACTAAGAAAGAGTTTAACATTCAAGGCCAACCCAATGCCAAGTTTCTATCATGACGGTCCACCCCCAAAGACTGAGCTGAAAAAGGTATCTTATAGTTAATAAACTCTTCCGTGTCTCTTGATATCGTTGTTGGATGTTATGTAAACACTAAACAGAGCTCTGAAACTTTTGCATGTGAAAGAAGGTCGAGCTAGGATACCTGTGAGTCTGTGACTGTATATGGCTTGTATTTGATTGTGCCATAATATGTGATAGCTTTAACTTTTAAATGCTAGGTACCAACAACTCGTGCAAAATCACCTAAGTTGGGTAGAAAGAAGAGCACTGGTGATGCAACTGCTCCATCGGATACAAACAAGACCAAAGCGGCATTGAATCAGGGAAATCCTCAGGAAAAGGCAATTGAAGCTGTTACATTCCTCAATTCAAATGGACACAGCCACACAGAAATTGGCATCGAATGTTAATCATAGGGTCAGTTGTTCTTAATTTATGACGCAATTGAGGTTCATGTTCTCATTGTGTTCCAAACAATTTGCATGTCCATATGTTTGTTTACTGTTTTTTTTTTTCTTTTCCCTTTACCCATTTCAAGACCAGTGTAATGGCTTTGTTGTTGTCTTATGTTGTTTTCTGTAATTTATGGAATTGTAAATCTGTGTTAAGTTAATGACTATCTATACAAAGAGAAGCATCCATCTTTGGTTTTTCCAATTAACTTCTTGTACTGTTTTGTTCCCAGCTCTCGTGTGCTATATATTTGTACAGAAAAAAGCAGAGAAATTGGGTTGGTAAGCAGTATGTTCATTGTAATGTTTCTGGAGCAATGATGAGAAGATGTAAAGAAGAAGAAGAAGGGGAGGACAGGAGGGGCCTGATCTTTTGTTCATATGTTTTTCTCAGGGTGGGAAAATTGGACGGGGTTACTTAAATTTCCCCTGTTTTGCACTATAATGGCAAGTGCCATCATAGAGATTTAAAGAACAAAGCTCTTACAATGCGAAAAAGATATTAAAGATTTAGCGTAAAGCACCTGGTGTTTTAAGTGCTCTTTTGGTTTGTTTGGGTTTTTTTTTTTTTGGCAAAAGATAATCATATATATTGATCAAGACAAAGAAGTTACATCCTGGAATTCAGCCAGGCCTGATAATCAAAGACACGATTTCATGTCGGATACAACGACAGGGCCTTGCGAGCCACCATATGGGCTACCCTATTGTACTCTCGACCTACAAATCGAACACTAAAACGAGGATGGGATCCAAAATAATGAACTACTTCCTGCAGCACTGCCTCCATCCGACTATCCCCGATGTCCGCCCGGATAACTTTGTCAATAACGACCTTGGCGTCACCTTCAAAGGCGACCTCCGTGAAACCCAGATTCAGGCACCAGAGAACCGCCTCACGGAGGACCATCAATTCCACCACCAAAGGATCATCAATAGACTGGAAGTGGACCCCTTTAGCCAGGAGGACTTCCCTACCAGGGGTTAAGATAACAATACCCCCTGCCGAATGGGATCCTCTTCTGGTGGCACCATCCCATATACAAACCATACCCGTTGCTCCCCCAGAATCAGACATTCCTGTTGGTCTCACCATTCGCTGCGGAACTGGATCGGAGGGTAAACCCACCCACTCCTCATACTGCTGGCTAAACTGCCTCATCAAAACAGGGAAACTGTACTGCTTACCCTCAAAAACCACCCAGTTGCGAGACCGCCAAATCCTCCAAAGGATGCCCACAACCGCCATGAACAACCTAGGTTGATCAAGCAGAGCCAGCACCCTCCTCAGGAAAAGCGGAAAATGATCCCGGGGCAACCCCTCCCCAATATATTCCAGTCCCGAATAATCCCAAAGAGCACGAGCCACCGGGCAATATAGAAATAAGTGTTCCAAGGATTCTGAGGCGCCCCAACAGACCGGACACCGATGGTGAACTTGCACTTTCCTTTCAATTAGCGCTTCCGTAGTGGGAAGGGCACGATTCAGGATCTGCCAAACAAACACCTTAAGTTTAGGAGGGATATTAGCGTCCCAAAGACGAATCCAGCTAGCCTTATCCATCCAGCACACCGTGGGTTTCCAACCACCTCTTCTCCTATCCAAAGTAACCGCCAAGTGGTAAGCCAACTTAACCGAAAACAACCCATCAACAGTACCATGCCAGATCAGCTTATCCTCCACAGCCTGGCGAGGTAGAGGGATTTTCTTGATGGCTTGACAGGTAGCGGGGTCAAACCATTGACTAATTTTGCGCTCGCACCACCGCCCCTCCCCCTGAACAATAAGCTCAGCCACCAGAGGATCACCCCCAACCGGCAGGATCAGAGGATTATGTCGAGGGGGGTCAAGCTGATGTTGAGGTATCCAGGTAGATCGAAGCATGGACGCAGAGCGCCCATTCCCAATTTGCCAGCGCAACCCCATGTCCAACAGCTGCCGCCCAAACAAAATACTCTGCCACCCCCAGGAAGGTCGTGAACGAGCCTTAGCCTGGATGAAGGAACCATTAGGAAAGTATTTCGCTTTATACACCTGGGCCAGGAGGGATTGGGGTTCCATTAAGATCCGCCACCCAATTTTAGCCAGGAGGGCTTGATTAAATTGTTCGAACCGCTTGAACCCCATCCCCCCTTCGTGCTTACTCCTACACATATTACGCCAGGACATCCATCTTATCTTAGAATGATTTTCATCCGCCCCCCACCAAAATCGGGCCACATGCCTGTCCAATAGACGACAGAGCGAAAGAGGAAGCTTAAAACAAGACATTACATGCAGAGGCAGGGCCAAGGCCACCGATTTGATCAATGTTTCCTTAGCCGCCCAAGATAAAGTCCTTTGCTTCCAGCCCTGCAACCTTTCTAACAGTTTTTCCTCCAGATACCGAAAGGTAGCCATCTTAGACCGGCCAATCAGGGTAGGAAGTCCCAAATACTTATCATGGACCCCAACCGCCCCCACCCCCAAAATAGTGGCCAAAAACTCTTGATCTGGCACCGCAACGTTTTTGCTGAAGCAAACAGCTGATTTGGCCAGATTCACACGCTGCCCACTTAGTTCCTCATACTCGTTCAAAACCACCATCAAATTTTCACATTCCCTCAGAGTACCCCTGAGGAACAGATAAGAATCATCAGCAAAGAATAGGTGGGATATTCGAGGGGCACGAGGCGCCACTTTAACCCCCTCAAGCTTCTTCTCCGAAATTGCTTTACGAAGGAGAGCCGCAAACCCCTCAGTGCAGAGCACAAATAGGAGAGGGGACAGCGGATCACCCTGGCGCAACCCACGAGACGGAGTGAAGTATCCTGACGGGGTTCCATTCATGAGAACAGAAAATGATGCCGATCGAAGACATTCGCGAATCCACCCTCGCCAGACAGAGTTAAACCCCATCTTCTCCAACACAGCAAGAAGAAACGACCATTCGACTCTATCATAGGCCTTTTCCATGTCAACCTTCAGAGCCATGTATCCTTTCTTGCCTTGCTTCTTGATTTTGAGGTAGTGCATTAACTCATGCCCGAGCAGGATATTATCAACTATCTGTCTATCCCTGATGAAAGCATTTTGGCCCTCAGAGATGATCTGGGGAAGGAGACCAGCAAGCCTTTCCGTCATGACTTTAGTTATGACTTTATACACAAACTGGCAAAGGCTGATAGGACGGAGTTGCTTCATATATTCCACCGAGTCAACCTTCGGAATCAGAGTCAACCAAGTATGGTTAAAACTCCGGAGCATCCGACTGGTCGAGAAGAAGGAACAAACCGACTCCCCCACAATGTCCCAGAAGGATTTAAAAAATTTTCCCGTAAAACCGTCCGATCCCGGAGCCTGTTTCGAGCCCATTGAAAAAACAGTTTTCCGAACTTCCTCCGGGAGGACCTCAGCCGTTAAACTTGCATTCATTTCCGCCGTGACCTTTCTCTCAATAGGGAGAGAGTATACTCGTTCCGCCATATTAGGAACTTGGGATTCCGAGGTAAAGAGATTATTGTAAAAATCCGAAGCAATGTCCGCTTTCCCTTTTTCCTCAGTAACCCATTCCCCATTTTCACTATGAAGCCCAGCCACAAAATTACGCTTCCGACGGGCGCGCGTAACCGTGTGAAAATAGGAACTGTTTTTGTCACCTTTTTTAAGCCACTGGACCCTAGATTTCTGCTGCCAGTAGATCTCCTCCGCCTCCCACTGGCGAGAGAGCTCAGCCTCCAAACTCCTAATCATATCCCAATTAATAGGCTGGCTACGCTTGACACGATCAATCTCTGATTGGAGTGTGTTAATGTTCCGGAGAGAATTCGTAGTCCCTGCCCTACTCCAATCATAGAGAAGATGTTGAAGCTTCTTCAGCCGTTCCCAAAGCCGAAACATAGGGGAACCATGAATCTCCTCTGCCCAAACATAGCGGACCATGGCCTTTACCTCCGGGTTTGCTGCCCAGCGAGCATCAAACCGGAAAAGGGGTCTGCCATTTCGAGCATAGGCTTTGTCCGAGAGGAGAATAGCACGATGGTCTGAGCCTTGGTCCGTAAAATGTTTAACCAGGTAACAATTTGTTGAAGCAGAGAATCAGGTGGTGGTTTGTTTGGGTTTTACTGCTGCGAAAAAGTGACTTTTTCAATTTTTTTTACAAACATGGTTTGTTTGGGTTCTACCAAATTTTATTGTTTAATACGTGCTTCAAGTTTGGTTGCTCACATTTTGTATACCAAAAGGAAAGTCACGATTTTTACAAGTTAAGAAGTTGTCAACTTGTAAAAATCTGAACTTATATAAGTTGTCAATTACTCTCTATACATAGGACTACAAACGAACGGGGCATCACCAACCAATCAATCTGAACTTGTATCAAACTTTCAAAAGGTGGTGTCCTTCCCGCGAGTTCTAGTTTAATAGTTACTATTTAGACCACGAATTAACTGGATTTGGTGACATGATAATATACCCTAACTTATAATGGGTAAAACTCACTTCCTAATTCTCTAACCTGAGTAACAAGATTCATTTAATATAAAAAATAATAATTGATGGTTCTGATTAGGCGAAATATATTGAAGTGCAAATAAAAAGTGTAAACACAGGCGTACGCTAGGCTATCATACGCCTGCTGAGTTTTGCTATTTATATCATGAGTTAACCAAAATTTTGGTTATGATACTATAACTTAACCTCTAATGGGTGAACCACAATCCCTAATTTTCTAACTCAAAACATGAAATTTCGTTTAAACTTAAATAATAACCGACTGTTCTGTTTTGTCGAAATAAACAAAAATACAAATAATAGGTTTGAACACAAACATATAACATACGCTCGGTTATATGCTAGCTTTCGTCATATATAATAATACATTAATACTCTAGTTGAGGTTCAAAATATTATTAATTAATTAATAGTGCAAGTAACCTAGCACTGTTCCTCACGGCAATTTCTCGACAGGTTACTGTTCACTAGAGTTATGCTTAGCTACGGCCAAACACACAAAATTTTCCGGATCTATTCAGGATGAAAAAAATGCCTACGAGAGTTCAGACCAATCGGTAGTTTTAATGGTATAAAATAGTTGAATCACAACTAAACCATTGTTTGAACACAAAATACCCTACTACTTACGTTTTCGGTATAATCTCCAGTACGATTTTAAAATCCTTTATTTATAGAAGGATATGTATTTCTTAAGTGATTTTTCTGTATAACCTCCAGTACGATAGGGTATAAAAATGCCTACAAGAGTTCATGCACGTAATCAGTTAACGGTATAAAACGGTTGAACCACAATTAAACCATGACTTAATCACAAAATACTCTAATACTGTTGTTTTCTATAATCTTCAGTATGATTTTAACATCCTTGATTTATAGAAGGATAAGTATTTCTTATGTGATTTTTTCAGTATAACCTCCAGTACGACAGGGTAAAAAAATGCATACGAGAGTTCAGACCGGTAGGCAGTTTTAACTGTATAAAATGGTTGAACCACCGTT